CCATCCGTTGGTCTTGAGGAAGGTGTTGCAGCTCTTGGCCATGCACGGCCAGCTTGTTGAGACCGTAGAGCGGCTTGAGCAGCCGGCACACCTGCCCGCGTAGCGTTGAGCGCCGTCGCCGATGTCGGTGAAGTGCGGCGGCAGCTCCATGTACAGCTCCTCCTTGAGATCAGCCTGCAGGTAAGCCGACTTGAAGTCGAGCTGGTGCAGCTGGTGCTGTCGTTGCAGGGAGACGGCGAGTACAGTGAGGATGGTCTTGGCTGCTGGTGTTGGGGCGTAGGTCTGGTCGAAGTCGATGCCCGGTCGCTGGCTGAAGCCCTTGGCGACCCAGCGTGCCTTGAAGCGCGTCGGCGCGCCCTCAGCATCACGCTTCACCTTGAAGACGAAGCGTGACTTGAGAGGCGTGTGCTGCCGTGGCACGGCGCTGCGTGGGATGAGCTTGATGACGCCGTTGCGCTCCATCGCCCCGATCTCATCCAGGCATGCCTGAGTCCACTGCTTGCGTTGCTGGCTCTTGAGTGCCTGCTTGATGCTTGCAGGCTCCGTGAGGCTGGTGTCGCCACTGCTGCTTGCTGTGAACGCGCCTGCCTCGGTGTCGCTTGCATCTGTTGTGTCGGGGTCGTAGTTGGCGTCGTTGCTGTCGCTGCTGCTGTCGTCGTCAAAGTCCGTGAGCAGGAAGTCTGTCTCGACATCATCGTCCTGGTCCTCGTCGATGTGAACTGTTGGTGGCTCACCGTCAGTGGTGCTGTTGCTGCTGTCACGTGCACTGGGAAGCTGGAGCATGGGCGATGTCGTGGATGTCTGCACTTGCTCCTCCCCCTCATCCACGACATCGGCCTTGGAGAAGGGAAGGAAGCGGACGTGGATGGAGGACACAACAGTGTTTGTGTCTGCGAAGTAGACGAGGTGGCTGTTGTTGCTGCTATTGTGGCCGACGTAGATGCCTCGGCGGCCCTTGGGCTGCAGGCGACCGCGCTGTGTGCTGATGTGGACGACGGCCGGCTGCCCGAAGACGTGCAGCTGTGGCACGTGCTTGGGCAGCGAGCCCGTGACAATCTGCAGCGGTGTCTTGCCGTGGAGGGAAGGGCGAGGCATGTTGTTGAGGATGTGGAGGGCGTGGTTGCAGGCGAGGCTCCAGTACGATGCGTCAAGGCTTGCACCCGTGATCATGGCTCGCACCATGTCGGAGAGGGTGCGCACCTGTCGCTCGACGATGCCGTTCTGCGCCTGGGTGTACGGCGGGGACTGCTGGTGCTGCTTCAGGTGCTTCTTGACGATGGCCTGGAAGTCAGCTCCGAGGAAGATGGCATCGGAATCCGTCTGGAGTGCTGTTGTTGTGGGCGAGATGGGGAGCTTGGTCTCGCGCAGGAAAGACTGGAACGCGGCAACTGCGTCCTTCTTGGCGTTGAGATGGACTGCATGCAGGAGCTTGCTGCCCTCATCGACGATGACGAGGCTGTAGCGCTTGTTCGTGGGCGAGTCCGCGGTCCAGTCGACGATGTCGGCGTGAATGCGCTCGCCGGGCACCTGTGTGCGCTCCGCGTGCTTGCTGACGCTGTGACGAGTGCTCTTGGTGACTGCGCACGTTGTACACTGCTTGCTGCTGATGGCGTTGCGATCGTCGATGCCCATCAGCTTGCAGTACTGCTGCACGTCGTTGTCGTTGCGGTGGCCAAGCACATCATGCATCGATGGTGTGTGTGCCTTGCTCTGGGCTGCAGGAGCTGCTGCGTGTTGCTGTGGTTGCTTGCAGGCATCGTTGGTGAGTCCGTGTGCTGTGGGTGGACCAACAGCAACAATGGGCCAGCATCGGAGGCTGTTGCGCTCCTTCAGCTTGACCTCGGCTCCGTGGCTGAAGCGCACGTAGTGTCCATCAGCGCCATCACGCTGCGAGTGGCCCGTTGGCCT